TATATATATATATATATATATATATATATATATATATATATATAAGCAGAAAAAAGAAAATGCTTATTTATAAGTTATATCAAGAATTCCGGTATTCTGGCATATCAAAGTCTTGTACACGACCCTAGACATAATCTGACCAAAAAAAAATTCTTCTCCACACTATTGCGAGTAATGCTGTCTGTCTGTCTCTCTCCCTCCGTGTTCGGGTGTCTGCGTCTCTCCCCCCCCCCCTCTCTCTCCAGGAGCCAAGCATATATTCGTCAGAATAATATATCGGCGACAATATGTACCTTTCTTCAGTGCACATAATGTTGCTGACGACATTATGTGATGATGCTTAGCTGTCCATTTTGTCGTTTATTATGCAGGAGGAGAAAAGGCTCGTCTAGGCACATAATATGTACCGATGGACGACAATATGTGCACTTATTGTAGGTACATATTGTCGCCGATGACAATATGTATAGAATGACAATAAGTACCGTCACGGAGTCTTCGAATGGCAGTTATATCTAAATATGCATGCACAATTTGAAGTGATAACTGCAGTATTTTAACTTATAGTCAAATATTTAAGTTTTAGAAAGAAATTATTACATTATGCAGAAAACGATAAAACAATGTAAAAAAGTGAGAAGAAAAAGCATTCAGGTCTCAACTTACATGAAAAAGCTAATCTAAATATCAGCTTTGGATTAAATTCTCACCACATGTCTGAGGTTAAAGAAAAAGTAAACAATGAAATGGTATATTATTTATATAATGTATGAAAGATATATTTTTTCCCAGGAAGATGACAAGTACCACGAAGAATATCACAAGTTACAGGCAACATTTTTGTTAATTTAGTCCAGCCCTAAGGCTTATACGGCTCATTATTAAAGAGAAAAGAAAGATATTTTAGGAATGACTCTAATTCTTGGCCAAATTATTCGAGTATAACCTGGTTTGGGTCAGTTTACGCTTTATAATCCGCGAAGCGGATTATAAAACAGCGTAAACTGACCCAAACCAGGTTATACTCGAATAATTTGGCCAAAAATTAGAGTCATTCCTTATAATTTAATTCTAAAATCATTAAACAACTGTGGGTGTAAAATTTCGTTGCTTTTTATTAGTTCAAATTTGCCGCTCAATAATACAACCCTAGTAACGGAAGTGATGGGTAGCGAGGGGAGGTAAAAACTGATACATAGTCCTAGCAGCCATGTTGTTTGTTTACATGTGGTAAGATCCAAGTTACTGTTTTAAGTTAAAGGTACATTTATTAAATCTGGAATTTTCCATGAATCCCGAGGACTGGAAATGAGAGGATTGCATGGATACAGACGATTCAGCTGGTTGTCAGGGGGTGTGTCCCCATACCAAACCAGGTTATACAGAAATAATTTGTGTTCCTTTTTGGATATTAACCAATCAGAGGCTAGAAAACAAACAAAATTAAATTATATTGAAATAATTTTATTTTCATATCATTCATCAATGTTACACCTGTACTATTACTAATGATAATTTTTCTAGATGACGCTGAAAGAGCGGTTACTCTAAAGCTCTAAACCAATGAAACATACAGGTAATTTGTCTGTTCACGTTATGATATATTATCGTGCATTTAATCCAACGCATGACTTATAGAATAAAAAGAGATTTTTTTTCTGTAGGAAATCCTGTAAATCTACTTTTTCCTTGCTGTTCGTATGTAACCTTTTCGTGATTCACTAGAAACAGTACTTATTGCGAATCTAGCAAGATTGCAAATATGCAGCTTAAGCCATTACCAACGTTACAGTTAAAACAAAGATATGGGAGGAGGGTATAATTCTTCGCAGGCGTCTCATAAAATATTGGATGTTTTACAGATAATAGACGACAAAAGCAGACTAAAAACTAAATTGTATGACAAACGAGATGACTTCAGCTTTTGCATCCTCAACTCTCTTTCTTATGTAGGAATATTCTGTTATCATCTGTATATGGTTTCTATGTCTCCTATAGGGCACTGTCACACCAAGCTGCGTCCACATGGAGTTATTACGGCGTTGTAAAAAAATTAAAATCGCAGGGAAATTGCACAAATTTCAGTAAAACCTTTACAGTGTGAAGATGTCACGGCGTCCCTTCGGCGACCCACGCGTTTCTACGGCGTTCTCGCGGCGTGCTACTGCGTTCTCTTAGAGATCTAGATCTCTTCGCGATTGACTGCGCTTCCGCGGAGCTTTTACGGCGTGTTAGGAGTTGTCACCTCGCGTTCACGGCGTTCTCACTGCGCTTGCTGCGTTCACAATACGTTCACAATGCGTTCTTCACCATGGATATATATCCAGAAGGAGTGTAACATATTTTTTAAAAAGATTCAAGTCACATGACAAAAAGACTTCTACTTATGCCAAGAAATATTCTTTAATTAAAAATGATCTATTTAAATAATTTTGTACTAAATTACTGATAGTTTTATTATTAAAACCCTTTTTTTCAATTATATCAATTCAGATGTGTTTTTTTCCCTTTGATTTTATTATGAATTAAAAAAATAAACACACTGAAAAGTTGTTATAAAATTTAAGTAATTCCATCGCAGCTCCACTGAAACAACAGAACAAGTTCTGAGTGTAATTTTTACTTCCCAATTCTACTCCCATTCTCCTGGTCCGGAGTGCAACAAGTACGTTAGAATTATTGCTGATCAGATATGAGGCCATTGCTCTTGTTTTGTGAGCTGGCTGACAATGCTCTAACTACGCCGTGAAAGCGCATTGTGATCGCCAACGGACGCGGTAGAAACGCCAAGGGAGCGGAATGATAGCAGTGACATCTCCTTGTTGTCGCTGTGTAATCGCAGTAAAAAAAATCACAAGACAATTAATCTCATTAGAAGCGCCGTAAAAGCGCGATAGAAACGCAGTGACATCTCCAAGGACTCCGCGAGGTCTCCGTGAAAGCGCAGTCTACTATCACTGCGTTCATGCTGCGATCATGTGCGTATTCTCGGCGTTTTGCATTTTTTATGGACGCCGTGCGATCGCCGTGAGGACGCAGGCTCGGTGTGACAGGGGTTTAACTTATTCGCTACTCAGGAGCATGCTTTGAGTACTATCAGTTTTCAAACCGAGGCAGTTTATTTACATAGAAGTTGATGTTACAGTGATCTCAACAACCTCCTTTAAAGTCAGCTTTCCGTAAATTCTATGGTTGCTATAATGACTTATAAGCAAATATTACCCATCACTGGCTGACTTGTTCCCAACCAATTGTTAGGCCATTGTTTTTTTAATACTAAATTTGACTATGGAATGCTCTGTCTACTTGATCAATATATTGGGCTCAAGGCGGATGTGAACTGTCAACAGGGGATGCTTACTCCTCCTAGGCACCTGATCCCACCTCTGGAATTTCCAGAGGTCCGAGTCTATGCCCTATTCACAGATTTGCATTTGTTGAAGTTTTTATGAGATCGATCACTGTTCGTTATATTCACTCCTTTTATTTTAAATTCTACTTCAAAGTTAATTTTCAATCCAAATAATATATTCGCGTCCGCACAGTGTTAAGGATTGATGAAGTAAACAAATAATTGCAATTTATGAATAGTTTAATTCATAACAGATCAGAATCTTCTATTTTATGTTTTTAAAGGGTTGGTGACAGATTTTAAAGAAAAAAATTCTTAAAGGGGTGGGTAACAAATTTTGGAGATGAATAATATAAATAACCTGTGCTCTAATGTAAAAAACTCAGTAATCTGACATTGATTAGTTCGCCTCCTTCAATGTACATAATATGTGCAAGTCAGGTGTCGATTCGTAAGTAAGCGAATCGGACCATTGGCTGGCAAAGATAAATCAAAATAAACTTTTCGAGTTTGTGCAGCTACCTTCTTTTCCTTTGCTCGTCAATATTTTTCAGTAAAGAAGAAAATTAATAAGTTCTCTGGTCATCTTGGAAATAAATACTTGTCATTATTCATTTCATAATTTTACAAGAGTTTTCAAACAGCATACATCTTTTTAAAAAAGCCAAGGGCAACTATTGATTATATAAACAATTAAAGTTATCATAACATGCGTTAGTCCGAGAAAAATTTTCTTGCCTGAAACCTATAATTTTTTTCTATCAAAATGGAGCAAATCACGAATTACTGTCCTATTCTCTATAGAAAAAGAAAAATTAGCACATGTACCCGATAATATGAAGCGATGGATAGCTACTCTTTTATTATTTCGTGGTGAATTCCGGTTCCACATGACTGTTACTGGTTCTTTAATATATAAAATATCACTAAAGACATTATTTTTTTTTTGAGAAAAAAATAGAAGGAAGATGCACAAATAGATCAAATATTTGTTTTCCCTAAGAAGTGATACAAATATAACAATTACTTAAATGAAAATCACTCGACCACAATGAAACAAGGAGACAACGAACAGTAATCAAGTGTAAAAAGTCCATTGAAAAAATACAAATAGGGAGCAGAGCAATCAAGTAATTCCAAAAACATCAGAGGTGGGATCAGTGCCATGGAGGAGTAAGCATTCCCTGTCGACTGGTCACACCCGCCGTGTGCTCATTGTCATGATCGGTGGAGCAGAAAAATCCGTAGACATTATAATGTTTAAATAATGGCCTAACAGTGAGTATGAAAAACGTCAGTCAGTATTTGACTTAATGAAGATTATATTTGCTGACAAGGTCATTGTATTGACCATAGAACTTGCAAAATGATGACTTAAATCGAGACTGTAGATATTCTTGTTTTGTCAACTTATTTATCAAAAGCTTGCCTCGTTTTAGAACAAAGAATGTTCATACGTGGAGCATGTTCTTGCGTATCGAATCAGCTGGGAGATATAAACCCCACACGCAGGTGCTAAGGGTATATTGCTACATAAGTAAGGGAAGTTGACGATAGGTAAGTTAAAGTCATCACCTTTATCACAGTTTTGTTGTGAGGTTACCATTAACGTCTTTTTCTATTAAAATATACAAATATGAAACAGATGTGTCAGACTCTGTGGTATCCTTTATTTCAAGTTCACTGGGATGTATCGAGTCGACATATAAATAGAAGTGACTATTGTTAATTCATAATACGTCGTCGATATATCTAAATGTCGAGTTGAGTGCCACAGCAAGTGTCTTCTTCTTATGTATAAGCTTTTGAATAAATTCTGCTTCATATGAATACAATTATGGGTCTGCTAACAACGGGGCGCAATTGGTACTTATGGGAATTGTAGTAGATTGTTGGAAGACCTGATCTCCAAAAACTACTTAGATATTGTCTATCAGAAGCTCAAGCATCTTTTTAATATCCATTTCATAGTTTTTGTGTGAAATAAAGAGATATCGAACTGTATTCAAGCTCAAAGGCCATTAAAAGAATCAGAATGTTTTTGAACAAAATAACTTTGCAAATGACCAATGACAAGGTAAGTAAATTTACTAGTAAACTGTAGTGACTGTCTTATCTACCATGATTGAAAAAAAATATTAACGAGTACTTTAATTCTTTGAGGAAAATGGATTTCGATGTCATATTATGAATAAAGTAGAATTTTAAAAAAAAATTTACATTTATAATTATGTGTTATATTTGAAAATAAATTGAACATTTTTAGTTTCTTAATACCATAACACATGAAACCATTTAATTGTTATCATACGGCAGAATGTATGATCTAAAAACTATGTTTGGCTGGTGTGTTAATGATAGGTGTTAATCACAGAATGTCATTTGTATAAATATGTCCAATTTTAAGAAATTTCTTATTAAATGGCACCTTCCTTTCCTGTTTGGCAGCAAATCATGATGGCAAAGACAACAGCCAGGAGCTGCAATAGATATTATTTGAATAATTTTACCTTCTTTTCGCACTGGACATCCATATCTATATCAATCTAACATTCATCCACTTTTTAAAATGCACTGAGACGTACCTTTGGGAATTTAAAGTATGCATTCATATATATGTTAATTAAAGAGTGATTTTTTTCTAGGAAAGTGTTAAGCTATAAATTCATTCCGATGGATTTATTATGTCTAGGGATGCCAAAATATATACAAATATTCGACTACTCGACTATCAGTCGAATGGACCAACGATCGAATAGGGAAACGACATTCGACATCCTTTACACACCATAATTTTTTCAATGTCCAAAAATTATATTTTTCTCTAGTGTATATAGGGTCCTTAAATAAGATCACAGGCACATAACGTATGGATAATATGTGTTTAAACACACCAACCCCCATTTATTTAAATAAGCTTTAAAACATATCGTGCTGGCATTTTTTTGAAAGCTAATTAAAATAAAACTGACTTTAAAGACAGATTTATGAAGGAGAAATTAACTGTCTAAATTTTTTTCATATAAACACACTATTCATACGTTAGGTGCCGGTGAGCATCTGCGTGCAACATAGGCATTTGATCTTTTTGTACCAATTTTGATAAAAAAGTTTTTGAGTTATAAATACGTCATGTACCAGGGAATTTAAAAAAAGATTTTCGTTTCAGAAAATGTCCCGAATATATTTGGCAATCGTTCGAATAATGCAATCGAATAATCGACGAAGGGAAAATAATATTTTGAAATCCCTTACTATTTGTAATGTAACAATGTTACCTCAATGAAAAGAATTGTTATTCCAACTCCTGCAAACACATTTCCATAAGTTGTAATGTCATCTTTTATAGTATCATAGCATCCCTGTAAATACAGCATGAAATAGATCTAATGCAAAATGAATAGTCTGTATTAATTTGTTTGAAAAAAAAATAATATGATAAACATATGGAAATAATGCCTTGAAATGTCATAGTTGCTAACTTCCTGTATTATTTCCTTCATTTACCATGCAGCTATTTTTGAATTTAAAAAGGCATTAAACATTATATGCAATCAATAGCAGTTGTTTGAATGTATGTAATTCATATTCAATTTTATCATGCTTGATGTCAATGTTATAGCCTTGGAAGATAATACATTGATTTATTAAATACTCCTAATAAAAACAAAAATGAAATGGATTGGTAAAAATTTACTCTGAAGAAGGAAGCTGGATAGTTTCGTTTGTTATATACACACATACGATACGTATCGAATAATTGTATCAAAATAAATTTCCTAATGTTGACTCATAATATTTTTGTGCAGCCCTCCTCTCTTGGGTTAGGTTTGTAAATGTTATGTTTAATATTTCTTGCTACATATATCGATAGAAAGTGATCATGACGGATAAATCTTTGTGATATATTCTTCAATCCATTTAACTTTTTTATTTGTTTACTTGATTTCTTTTCATTTTGAATTTGGATCAGCTTGTCTCGCTAAAAAAATATGTAATGGGCAAGAGCAAAGAAAATACAAAGATTATATGTTATAGATCAAATTTTCAGATTCTCCCTCGTCTTTTGATATTAGTATACCTGTTTATAGATAGTGTAATTGATAGCCTAATTGATAGTTGATATATGCCACCACTGAGTCATCAGCAAGATATTAGATATTAGTATATATAGATAAAAAGAAAACAATGCACATTTTCCAAATTTCATCCCACAAGCGCTTTCTGGATTTAACAATCCCTCTTCTGGCGTACATACCGCGGTACATTTAAACTGTTTAAACTGAGTTCCACTCTGTCACACACACACACGAACACACTCACACCCACACCCACCCACACCCACCCACCCACCCACCCACCCACCCACACACACACACACACACACACACACACACACACACACACACACACACACACATATATATATATATATATATATATATATATATATATATATATATATATATATATATATATATATATATATATATATATATATATATATATATTGATGCGATCTTTTAGTTGCTGTCCATCTGTTACTCGTTAAACTTATTATATTTACATCCATTGAACATTATCTCCTTTATTTCTTATGAAAACCACGATTGTTTATCAAGCAGTAAACGTCACTAAGCAAACTACCTGTATAGTTCTGATCAGTGAAGTATACAGTTATATGCATATCAATAATACAATATTTAACGTGCTTAATTTTACTTCATATGGTCAAATAAAAACAATAAACTATGTTTGTTTGTTAGTGCGGGGATTAACGTTGCAGCTATTGTACAAAAAAAAAATTACATAGCCCTCTTAAGTATACTATGTATTTTTTTTCTGCAATAGCTATAACATTAATTCCCGCAATAACAACAACGGATGCAATTTATTGTTTAAATGAACAAAATATTACAAAAACCCATACCTTTTCGTTATATCCTGGCGTACATGTAGGTTTCAAATAAGTTGCAGAATCTACATTTTTGCAACACGTTCTTGGTATTGAAGACAAAGAATGAGTCCACGAAAAACCAAGAAAATCACGAGAGCTGTTTACACCGCAACAATCTACCTGTAAAAAATATTTTGAAAAGATATTATTGTCAAACGGTACTATATTGACAATCGAAATTTCATTACTTTTTTATACTTTGCCTTCAGAACGAAATGATTATTTGTATAAAGGTCTGTAGCGTTTACCGCGCCGTTTAACATTTATGCAATGAACTTTCATTATCCTATGTTTGAGGCATGTGCATACGTTACTCCTTCATGAATACGTTGGCAGTAAAACTTTTTTTTTCTGGTGAGAGGAAAAGGGGAGGGGGCTTATGAGGGTTACATCATTTTTATAACTTGAAAATACAAATTCCACAACATATCCTAATTTAGGCATAGTGCTTCTTAAAACGTACCTTTAAAGATGACGAAGATACTTTTAAGAATTCGAATACTTTTGATAATTCTATAGTAATATAAAACGTGTGCTTTGGATGAAACACTCACGGACATAAACATGTAGTTCCAAGCGTTAGACACAACATTGGAGCCGTTTATCAGGTCCGTTTTGTAGTTTTCCTTCAGAGACTTCAGCAAACTATCCTTTACAGTATCTTCTACCTGAAAATTAATATGAATTTTAGATAAAAAATATGGAAATGTTCATATAAGGAAATTAAAAAAAAGAAATGATAACATATTGCGAATGAAATTATATAGGGAATACTTATTGATTTGCACAAAAATGTTATAAGAAGCACTGTTCGAATAAGGGTATATAAAAGAAATGATGTCATATTACAAATGAAATTGAGGGAATTTTTATCGGTGTGCTCAAAAATGTGATAAGAAGCACACAGTGTCATGAAACCTTGAGTGATTGCTGACATGCAAACTGCAAGGAGATAATCTTTGAGCATATATATATATATATATATATATATATATATATATATATATATATATATATATATATATATATATATATATATACAATCTTTGATGTTTTAAAGAATATATATCTCTACCTTGACCTCACACCTGCGTTCATTGAATACTAAATAAAGGACATTAAGAATGAATTAGTATATTTAAAAAGTAAGTGATTGATGTAAATATCACTGAATGATTAATAAAGTAGATGTAATCTCTTACCTCGCCCTTCATCGTAAACCACAGAGCAACTGCTGTTACTTTTATGATAAAAAGTAACAATACAAGAATGGCGTACTGAAAGGAAAATGATAATGTACAACTTTTTTCCCCAACTGTTATAATTATTTTAATTTTGTCCAAAACATGGACTCTTGTACATTGTCAAAAAAACTCCATATTAGCACGAAAATAATAAATACATATTTTCCCTATTTGTGAGTAACTTAAAGAAGAATAATTATTGAATGAAAACGTACAGCTGCCAGCATGCATTTGACCTCACAACAGGCACCAAATAGGCCAAGACCGGCGACAAGAAGAACAAAGGCCCCCATAACAATGAAGAGGATGGACAAATTATCTACAAGATCTCCTAATTTAAAACTGGACACGCTTATTCCATTCAGTGCAGGTTTGACTTCGTCATTTATGGCTGATACATTGACCTTCATCAGAATCCCACCGATTAACAACCCCAGTCCTAGGAGCTGTGATAAAACATAAAAGTTTTGAATTATATTCAGAATAATTATTAGAAGGCAATAAAGAAATATCCTGAGTGTGTGACAGATATTTTTTTTTTTTAAATACCTGTTTGAAATTGTGCCTGCTATCATTATTTATTACAGTGTTATTATTAATATACCTGACAAGAAACAAGTTAAATAAGTCATATTGCTGAGAAATTATATATATATATATATATATATATATATATATATATATATATATATATATATATATATATATATATATATATATATATATATATATATATATATATATAAAGACAATTTAACAATTGTTTGAGTCGCCCGCGTGGCGCAGTGGTTAGAGCGCCTACTCTATAGTCGCGAAGTAAGGAGTTGATCCTTACGTCGCGGGTTCGAATCCCACTGTGGGACGTGGAGACCCGTCCTTCGGATGAGACCGTATAAACCGAGGTCCCTTGTCGCAGTAGGTGCTGGCACGAAAAAGATCCCTCACTGCTCAGTGGCCGTAAGTGCTGAGTATAGGACAAAATTTGCAGCGCTCCACCGGCAAGTGGTGGCGTCTCCATATGAGTGAAAAATTCTCGAGAGGGACGTTAAACAACATACAAACAAACAGTTGTTTGAGAGAGCTGGGAAGTCATGCCTTCTTTTAGTAGACTATTTAAACCTCGTAGAAAAGAAAAGCTCTGTGCAGATATTAAGGAAATTGCAGTAATTAGTATATGCAGTATATGTGGCTTTTTAAAACTTTATAAGTGTTTATGACTAGAAAAAAAATCATATTTCCTAGTGGATTTGAAGGGTTATAATTTGGACACCAAGCCTCCCTAAGACATTTTATTTAATTTTACATATCATTGCATTTTTTTCTCTCAAGAAATATTAATTATTAATTTTTAACTATAAGATATCATCTTTATTATGCCATAAGTTGCTTTTGCTATTTATTTACTTGAAGCCTAAAAATCCTATCTTAAAACATAAATTGGTGTTGCTTACCACGAAAAATTTAAACTTGTAACTATAGGCCAACATTCAAGTATTTGTAATTCGGTCTTCAATGTACGCATTTTTTCAACGTGTGCATTGCAAAGTATCTATATCTGTGCCTTATCAGCCCTTTACAAGTTTAACAGTAAACAGTTAAGTAAGGAAACTTAGTTTCTTTTCTCGTCTACAGCAGTGTAGAAGACAGAACACTCCAAAATGTGTACTTAGTTATCATGAGTAAATAAGAAATGATTCATAACTAAAAATATTTTTTCCTTCCTTTTTTTGGCCTTCCAGAGTGTTCTGATTTATCTGACCGATATTGAGATAAAGAATATTACTAATGAAAAAAAAAAGTAGCAGGATCCCTTTCCTTAGTTCTTATGACTATAACATTATAAGCAGTTTGTCCTTTTTTACCTTTCATGCACTTGAAGGACGTGTATGTTTTTTTTACCCTGTATCACTTATATATCGATGACAATCAAACTATCCATTAAATTAGAAGACAAGGAGGAAGTAACGAGTAACATTTAAGTAAACAAAAAAGCTACTGATGCAATTTAAAGTTACGTTCCTGTGTTTCTTTCTTATTTTCAGTTGGATGTTTTAATGTGTAATTTTACCTTACATGTGTTTTCGTGTAAATAAATAATGAAGTTTTTTTTTTGAAAAAAAATTGTTTGGATGATCATTGTAAAAAGAATTATAATAATGGTAATAATAGACCAAACATTTTCAACCTTAATATCTTCAGCACACCAACCCCAACCCCTAAAAAGAACATAATGTATTTAAAAACCCATTCAGAATTTTCATAACAGAAGACATGTATATCATATGTATATAGACATATATCCAATTTTGCGACATGAATGAAGTAATTATAATTAGGTATGATTCCTCTGTAATCATTTCCTAATTGCTACTCACGAAGAAAATTATGTTGATGACAATAAGGAATCCCTTCCCAAGCTTTCCACAGCCAGTTAGTCCCATCTTGGTTAACCTTTGTTGACTATCTGAAACACTCAAACTCTAATCAGCACTTCAATAATGGCAGTCGATATACTTCAAACTTTTTGTACAAACTCAGTAAAATATTGTATATTTACGAATATTAGCAAAAATACAACCAAACACTTTTTCTAAGGAAGATCTAAAAAAAAAAATTGTTAATAAATTCCGACTTACCTTTCAGTGCGTCTTATCGTCTCCTTTGTTATAATTCACGATGTTTGAAAACTTTGTTATCAGTAAGCAAGTCTTTAAACAACATTCTAATATAAAACGTCGTAATCTCTGTGTATCCGACGGATTTATTATTTTATCGATTTCAGCAAAAAGGTATGTTGCCCAAAGAAGTTGGGAAATTTGATTTACCATTCAAAATCCAATGTAAAGGGTTATTGTACTTCTTGTAAAGGAAAGTCAAAATTCATTCATGACATAAAGATAATCTAGCAACATAATTTAAGTCAGAAAAGGCTAAAAAAGGCGATTTTCATTCCTTTTTTTGGTAGGAAAAATAACAACTTGAGAATTTCAGCATTGATTTAATATGTATCATAATCAAAGCATTCTCGATCTAAATATTAAACCATGTGATAAACAATGCAGCAAAGTATAAATGCTAAAACAATGTTGAAATGAATATGTGCTTCTTTAAAATAAATAAAAAAAAAATATATAAACCTTGGATGGAAAAAAATCGGGACGTTTTCACATGTTTACTAAGTATACTTATATAAATACACTAAGAAATTCCTTTCATTATACCGTTTTTACGGAATCAAGAGCATGTAAATATGTACGGAATAACTATCAGATGTTTTGGTTTCATGGCGATGAGCAAACAGTTGGCTTCCAGGATACCGGGATAGTTTTATGAACAAACGCCTTCGGCGTTTATGTAAATTTATCACGCAAGCCATTTCCGTAAACATATCATGAAACAAAAAAAGTTATTCCTAAAATTATTTAACCAATAACCATTAAAACTCAGTCTAGATATAAATAAAATGAAACAAAAAAAGTTATTCCTAAAATTATTTAACCAATAACCATTAAAACTCAGTCTAGATAAATGATAAAAAATATCTTGCAATTTTCATACCTCCTAGCATTTTATACACAATACCTATATCACAGGTAATACAATTTCGCTGTATAAAATTTAACAGAAAGGCAGCCTATGCATTTTACACCTGCTAGCACTACACTAAGAATAGAAATAATAAAGCTGTTTATTTCTAGATAACATTTCAAAATAATTGAAAATATGATACACTTTTTCACAAGCATAAGTATAAATTAAAAAAAAAAAAAAACAAAAAATGAAAATTTCATGATACTACTAGAATGAATTAGAACAATCGTTATATTAAGATTAATGAAATATGAAGATAACGAACAGTGATGAAAGCTCAAAAGTTCATTGAAATAATACATATCACACGGACCTCTAAAACATAAGAGTTGGGAACTGGTGCAATGCAAGAGCTTTCCCTGTCCACAGGTCACTCCTTGTCATGATCGGGTAAATGGAAAAATCCGGAAACAATTCAGTGTAAAAATAACGGGTAACAATTTGTAGAAAAAAGGTTATTCAACATTAGACTTAACTATAAACTATATAAATTCAAATGAGGTTACAATATCTTTTCCCCTATCATCATTCAACTAGAGTCTGGAATGCATATTGTCTTTAGAACTTAAAGTCTTTAGAAATTTACAATTGTTCTATAACTGTTTCAAAATTCTTTTTTTAGTTCTTTCTTAAGATGACACTTCTATTTTTACAAATGTAGCCAGTAATATATCACAAGGATTGTGACAAGTGATGTTCCAAAAGAAACAAACTGAAATATTATAATATTAAACTTAAAAATAAAAGAAAATTATAGACAACTTACAACCACTTGTATCTACATTTTAAGTTTTTTTTCAAGAATAGTTTAAATAGATACAAGCAAAATTCTACTTGTAATTGACTGGAAAATTTTGTTAATGAGTCATCTCTCCGAGAAAAGAAACACTGAAAAATTACTTGAAGTGTATTTCCAATAATTTCTATTTTATACATGTCGTCTTTCTTCTGCTATATTGATGAGAAGTGTGAGTTGTCATTCCAAGGAGACGCACAGCCCTATAAAATGTAGATAGTATTCTAAGATAATTCTCAACAAAATAAAAAAATCTCATATAAATAGAGGATATTCAATTTTTTTAGTTGGATATGGAATATATTTCATGAGTGGAACAGGATTATTTGATATTTTCCAGAGTGCGAAGCACGAGTGAAAACATAAAAAAAAATCTTTCTCACGAGTGAAATAAATTCCATATCCAACTAAAAAAACATCGAATTTCCTGATTATTACATTTTCTTTGATCTTTTCTCTGCAATGTCTTTTCGTAACACAGTGTCAAAGGCTTTGACGTCCCAGTTGAGCAGTTGAGACGTCTTATATAGCTTATCGCTTGTGAGATTGAAAACATTCTAAACATGGATTTTAGCAACATATATTTGGGAAGAAATTGACATTTTTAGTCTCTACTAAAATGGATCAGTTACTATCTAATCTTATGGCAGGTCAGAAATTATTATTTTTACTTTATTTGGTATCCTTTCACACTGTGATGAAATATCACTTTGGTATCCTTTTATAGTGTGTCAGATTATCGCTTTTATTCAATAAATAAATCACAGTATTTCATTGTTGAAAATGAAATAAGTTATTTATTTCACTACATCAAGGGATAATAGAATGATTTGTTTTCTATGCAGAGAAGGAAGTGTGTGTGTGTGTGTGTGAAAACATAGAAACTTTATTTTAATTAAATTTTAGCAACTGACCTCTTTGTGATACGTCCCTGATTCCACATACTCATGACATCTAGATTCAGCAGAGGTGTAATTATCTATGGTAACATATTTACAACAAGCTTTTGGAATCTGTGAGTTTGTCTGCTGACACGATCCTGAAGTTGTACACCACGGAGTATTATCAAAATCATTTTTTGTACTCATCACAGGCTTTACTGCGCAGCATTGATGCTAAAAATATTGTTATAGCCTGTGCTTACGATTTTTATCACAAAACATGGAGAAATAAAGAGAAAGAGAGAGCTCTCTTACCGTGAGGAAAAACAAGTTCCATTTGTATGATGACGTGTTTCGGGATAAAGAAATAGTGTGATTTGTGTATTCCCTCTCTAACTTTTCCAGCATGTCTGTCTGGTTTATCTGTAAAATACATTTTGTTTATTTTAATCTGTCTGCTTTCAGGAAGTCATTTGATTATTTTTTTCAATAATACATGTTTAAGTAAAACTTAATCAGTCATACCTTTCTTCTATACTACATTAGTTCTACAAAATGGTTTTGTCAAATTAAACGTTGTAAACGAAATGCTGTCTTAGTTTTGAGTCAGTGAGTATTGGTTACCTATAAAATGCTTACATTTCTACCAGGTAAACCAGGTGCAACGTTTTATTCATGGATACTGTGTAAACTACCAAATTTGATATAGCTATTAAAGATTATCTAGTTCTTAGGGCATGACATATGGGAAGATTAAATGGCAGGTAAATCTTTATTGCACAATCAAAATTACAAAAAAAAAACAAAAAAAAAAAAAAAAAACAGGGATGCTTACTCCTCGATGACACCTGATCCCACCTCTTATGTTTTAAAGGTCCACATTCTTTTCCAATTTTGTTATGTTTTAATGGAGTTTTGAGCTTGATTACTGTTCGTTATCTCCATATCTCATTCAAATAGACAAAGTATATGGAGGGTAATTGTGTTAAAAAATCCAGACTTGTAAGTTTGTATATCCAAACTTGCAATCATATCAGTTTCATAGTCTACATATCTAAGTAAGTAATTCCGACATCCTAGCATGTAGTTCCGAACATACAACTGTTGAATTTGGTTTTATACTATAAATGTGTGTATTTTTGATATTGTAAACTTTGTTTCCCGGAATCTACATTGCCGCGCTCTGCATAAAACACAAAGACAATTCACAAGTCCAAAAATATGAAGTATACACGCTTGTCGAATTTTGATAATGAGAAACTTTGGAAGAGTATCAGTGCCACAATTCGTTTTAAATGTTTTTTTTTCTATTCTTATTTTAAATCTTTTTGCAAATAAAATAAATTATTTAGTTTTTATTACTTGTTTTTATTCTTTCTTCCAATTTTATACTTTTATGTAAGTTTCTTATTTGAATTCTAACTTGATTTTGTTTTCCAAATTCATTGTATTTTCTTAATTTTATTTTATTTGACGATGTGATATAAATGATTACCCGCTTAAACATGGCTTGTGCGGTTCTAGAGAGCTTCGGTTCTTAAGGTATCCTTACGCAGCTTTTACGTTTGGCACGATACTAGGAACTTAAATTAAATCAACTTCAAAAGGTTATTCTCCACACAAAATTTCCGCCCAAGCCCCCCAACCCCACCCCACCCCATCCGAACCCCCCGTGCTTCGGTCCTATGATTTGTTAAAGTGAAGATTTTTTCAGTCCTACTTCAGAAAATAAAGCCATTTCCGATTGAGTCCCCACAATAATGTTGCCGGTAAATACATAAGAAAAGAAATCAAGGCTAATTTGTTGTTGTGCCCCCCTTTACAGTAATATCCGATTTTTTTCGGGGACGGGGGCAGGGGGGCTTATCAAGAAATATTTGTTTAGTGCCCCCAAATGGAATTGCTTCTAACGGGATTGAAAACGATAGAAAACACACAAGAATGATATCCAATGGTTTTTTAAATTTAAAAAAAAAGTCATGTTTCATGGATAATATTTCTACGTTTCGCAGACTGTTCGCGCAAGATCTCTGTGTACACGTACATAAAAGGCCGTAGCGCCCTTCATCTGGATTCCTTAATTTAACTCTCTGAGTCCTACTTTATAATTCAAACTTTCGTTTCTGATTACAAAGCATTAAGTTAGGTACAATGAAACATTATTTAAAATTTAAGATAGAATGAAAAACGAAATGAAGCAAAATTGTGAAAATAAAAGAAAATAAAGAAAAGAAAATAAAAGCTGGAAAATATAAACAGGAATTAGAATTAAAATAAGAAATAGAAAATAAAGAATTTATTTAATTTGGAAAACAAGAAGTTATAATTAGAATAAAAAAATAGAAAAGAAAAATAAGAAGATTTAAAAAGAATTGTGGCACTGATGTCCCTCCATAGTTTCTCATATCAAAATTAGAGACTTCGCATTTGCAGACTTGTGAATTGTTTTTGTGTTTTATTCAGAGCGTCGCAATATAGATTTCTGAAAAAAAAGTGTACAATATCAAAAATACACACATTCATTGTATAAACTCAAAGTACATATTGACATGTGCCGAGACAAGTTTTTTTCTGAGCAGATGGGCAATAAACAACTTAATATTCCTAACTGTTGGACAACAGTATATACATGCAGTGATCGAGGACTTTTGCCATCGGCAAAAATATGTACAAGTATTTTTTCAGCCATTTTCAATATGTTTTGATGTGCGATGATATATGCACTGATTAAGATTGCATATCGTCGTAAACGACAAAATGTACAGGACAACAGTATGTTTCGTCGCAAAGCACAAGTCTGAAAAGAAAAAATAACCGTGAATGGAATGTGACTAAACGCCAAATTATGTGAACACGTTAAAAAGCAGTTTAGGTTCATGTTAAAAAGCAGTTTAGAACAAATCATTAAACATTTGAATGCTTGTGTATTTCATTCAAACGTATTTAATGAAATATGAAGATAATGAGTAGAAATCAGGATCAAAAAAACCATTTAAACGATTCACATTGGGAGCAGAGCAAACACGGACCTCTTTAACATAAGAGGTGGGACAGGTTTCATGGAGGAGTAAGTATCCCCCTGTCGACTGGTCACATTCGCCGTGTTCTTCTTGATTTGGCAGGAAATTTAGCATTGCCGCTACTTTGCAGAAAATTCCAACTCATCTCCGCAACACATTTTTAGATTCCAAACTCATGAAAGACTTCAGTCTTACTTATGAATGATTTTGTGATTATACTAACGCCAGTCGACGACTGTACTTGAATTAAAAACTTGGTTATAGATTTAGATTCATTTTCTACAATTCAATCAAGACTTTATCACAAACTGCTACCTTTATCAGAAAAGGGAAAATTATATTTAAACTACTTCCGATGGACAACGGAAGTGATGGTGGACAAAACACCTTTCGCACATATAGTTTATTTAGCGACCGGAAGTGATGTCATCAAAACAAAAAATATACCTCCAGTTTCTATTACACTCTAATTGATCTGAAAGTTTCATTGAAATCGAGCAAACCGCTTACGAGAGCTCGAATGCACAACATCCATTAGGAAATAATAATAGTAAAAAAGAAACCGAAGACTAACTTCCATTGAAATGTTTTGTCAATCAATGTTTTGCTTGATTGATGAATAATACATGTGTGTTATTTTGAACATCTAACCTACACTAGTGTCAAATCACCCTCTCTTCCAATTTTATGTGTATAAATAGTTTTTGGTACCATAAGGATTAAACTAATTCCTCCTGTCTATGAAATAAAAAGTCAACATATGACATTAAATAATTGATTAAAATCAAGGTTTCGATCACGTCGATATAAATGAATCTTGTTATCATGACTACACATTCCGCAATCATGTTGAAATACTCCTTATCTGCATAAAAACAGACGAAAAATAAAATAGCTAGTTCTATTTCTTTTTCAAGCAATGCATACATGTACATGTATGCTTTGTATCAACAACATGCTCTCTCTCTCTCTCTCTCTCTCTCTCTCTCTCTCGCGTAAAACTAAGAAGATATTAACATTCGGGATAAACCGAATTTGTAACAATAACTGCAAATGTCACAGTCCAATGTTATGTAGGAACTAAATAGTGTTTGGGAAGATAGATCAAAATATAATATTGATCATGAAATATTGAATAATTAGTGGACATTAGCAATATTATCAATGATAAACAACTTTCATAAGATGCCCGAGGGCTAAACGCTCACTTTGGCCGCGTTATCGTTATGATATTTGTACGGATTTTTTTTCCGTTCATGTATACATCATTAAGGTACACAGGTTTAGCGAGGCATGCAAAAATATGAGGGTCTTTGTTTAGATAATGTTATATAATCTCTTTCTCTCTATATCAATCAAGGGGGTTATAATCCAAACACACACTGAAACTTGCAGTATTCACATGCGGACTACTGTTTGCTAAGAATTACAAAATTCAGGATTATACAGCGCTCCCAAAAAGAATTTTGCAAACGATTTCTTGCACATATATCTGCAAAAATAAAAATAAAACTTCAGACTCATTCTCCATCCCCTCTCTTCCCTTCACGGCTTCCGTACCTCTCGCTCACAGAGATTGTTTAAAGAGTTTACTATATATATTATAGTAATCACCTTGAAACTGTAGATCCGCTTGCCTCTCACTTTGCTTACGAGGATGTTTATGCGTATGCGCAAGGTGAATACAAAATCAAATATTCAGGGATTGAACTCCTAATATTTTAAAATCATTTTTGTTGGTAATTTATAAATTAACCGTATTCAAGAAAGAATTGCAGTAATGAACACTTCAGTTTTCTCTCGATTAACCGGTATTAAGGGGGCCGACTGGGGTTTTCATTGAGCAATACTTCGCGCAGCATAGTAAAATAAAGCGTATTTACTCTTTTGAAGCAACTATTTTTACATAATTTATAGAGATTAACAAATTTAGGAAATCTCGGGTTAAAATATCTAGTTACGTTTTTAAATAACTGATTTTTTAAACGATTTTTCAAATGATGGGTAGATAGACGTCGTAATAGTGTGTTTTTGACGTTATGAATAACCGAAGTTCTTTAAGAGGGGTCATTAATTATGCCATAAAATAAAAAGTATAAAATACATGCTCTTGAAATTTAAAACATAGGAAATTGAGAATCTAACAATCATTTTTATCATTTTTATGTAAATCTGTGGTACCTGTCATGGTTTGTTGTACTCCATAAAAACAGGAAAATATCATGAATTTTGACATTTTGAGATGCCCCCTCTGGAAACCAGACGGCAGAATTTTTTGTTTCTTGCACAAAATGTACAATATAGTATTACCCGTCAAATAATATAATTTGAGCAAAAAGTCTATAGTAGCATTCGTATAATTTGCTCAGAAGTGCGAAAAAATGGTATTTTTCTATACAATCCTATTGTAGATGAACCTGTATTTTGAGATGGTCCTTAAAAAATTACCAAATGGTAGATTTTCACTACACTTGGCATGTATACTGAAGTCAATGTGAGGTACATATGGTATAAAATTAAAGAGTTTATCTATAGCAGTTTTCACACAATAAAACCCCAGTCGGCTCCCTTAAAACACCAAAAACGTCTAGTCTATAATTATCATATAGTAAATGTAGCATTAATTTGTTGCCCGTCGATTTACCTCTGCTCTAACCCCAAAATCCATGATTTAACACACAAACCAACGTTGGCGTGGGAATTTTTGCAAAGATAAAGATTAAGTGTCGCCCTGTTACTCTTTAAATTGCATTTTGATCAAACAATTCGCATTAATTAAAAATGCTGGCATATTGATGTGACTAATCATGACTTGGTTTGCCGTTTTTGAGAAGATGTTTCATACCCCCCCCCCCCCCCCCTCAATTTATTCCGATGTAAAATTTTGTTCCCACATTGTAGCCCCTTTCTACATAGGAAGCATTACTTGATGATGCTTTCTAATAATATGACTTGTCATGAGTTTTGTGTCGTTATGAGAAAGAAACTGTATTTTTCCTGCATATTCAAATGTAACACTTTGATCCATGTTGTGGTCCTTACCTACCTCCGGAGTCCTAATGTTAACAAATATAAATTTACACTATGTCAGGATTGCTCTTACATAAGTTTCATCTTTTCTGGCCAAGTGGTTCTTAAGAAAAATATTTATAAATGACATTAAATGTTTTACCTTTTCCTAATTAATTCCCCTTGGGTGAGCAAACCTTTTATTTAAAATAAGATATTAACATTGAATTACTTTTACCGAAGTACTTTCGGTGACAGATGTTGTTGATATTGGACAAATAGGTGTGAAAAGAATTTTAAAATGTAAAACATGAACCATGAAATGGACGACAAACGATCTTCGGTCAGTAAAGATCATCAAAGCCTTCATTTTTTGAGAGCTTTAAAGATAAAAAAAAGTACTTACAATACCAATCATTATAATGAGTACGCATTCAAAATTTAAAGACTTGCATTTCGTCAAGCAAATCAGCACCACAATAGAATGAACAATTACAGCCACACTGTTACAGATAGAGACAATTCCGCTGATTCTAAGATTTTTCGGAGCATTTGTCTCGTCCGTGAAAGAAACTTGAACATCTATAGTTAATCCTAGATATTCTTTTTTAAGATTATATTATTTGATCTTCATATTCTTTTAAAATCAAAGATAGATCGATCGCCTTTCCATCCAATGCCTGAAAAAAAAATCACAACACGAATTAATATTTCTTGCATAAGAGTTCTTGGTTGAAGAACTAAGAATCCATCAGCGCTGATCTTACAAATGTAATAAATGCAATTTAACAATGAACATTATGTATATAGCGCATACTAAGTATTTCGGTTCATCCGTACTGCTTTACATAAGTTAGGATGTAATAAAATGACTAACAAAATACACACAGACAGAAGAAATAAAGCTATATTTAAAATTTTGCCGAAGCATAACTACTTTTTGTTGGCAAAACACAGAATATAAACACTTTAAATAATTTTAATTTTTTTTTTAAAATACTGCTCAAACATTGATGTGAACGATGATTAACTGAAGAAAATCAAAGTTACTACATTTCCTCTATAGTAAATCAAATTTCAAAGTTTTTTTTTTCATTCCTACGTGATAAGGAATTAAATCCCAAAATATCAAATAGAAAGTTTTTACGTTGTCCTGATATAATTCCGATTGTCAATTTTTAATATACAAGTTTTTAATCTATTTTTATCTGCATAAATAAACTTCAGTAAATCTATCTAGGGAAAACCCTTGAAAGCGAAGAAGTGTTTCAAAGCAGTTTGTCAGTCACTCACCAGCAATACAACATTCAAACAGGCATTGATCAGCATGAGACCAATTGTCACCTTTGCCTGAAATACATGTTTCTAAAAAGAATGAGCTTACAGAAATATATGAAAATTTCGATGTGCTTTTAAAATGCAGTCAACAAATAAATAAAAATCCATTCATGGAACTATGTAGTTTGTGAATTATTTTTTCATAGATAGCAGTAGAAAAGGCAATAGGATTTATATGAAAAATGAAGATCCTTAACATAAATCAAGCTCAAAAGTCCTTTGAGACACTGAAAAATGTAAGCAGAGCAAACAAGTGACTCTAGAAACATCATAGATGGGATCAGGTACCATGGAAGAGTAAGCATTCCCTATCCGACTTTCACACCCGCCGTGTACTCATTGACATAATTGGACAAACGGAAAAATCCGTAGACAATTCAGTGTAAAAATAGCGGCCTAATAATTTGTATGAATAACGTCAGTGAACATTCGATTTAACAATAGATTGTATTTGCTAACAAGGTCATGGTATCGACCATAGAATTTACGAAATCCTTATACCATAAGATATTTGTCGATAGCTTTTCTCATTTAAGAAATTGTTCGTACGTGGAACATGCTCTTGCGTATCGAATCAAACTCGAGACATAAACTCCATATAAAGGTGATAATAGCATATTACTACATAAATAAGAGAAGTTAACAATAGGAAATTTGAAGTCATCACTTTTACCAAAGAATTTTGCCATAAAGTACATTGAAGTATGAAGTACAATAACGACTCTTTTGATTCTTCATTTTTACAAGTATATATAAATATGTTTAAACTTTGATCCACTATTTTTTTTTTATCAAATTCACTTTAAAATATACATTATATTCTATAAAAAGTTATGTAGCAAAATCAATGGAACATGTTCATTTATTTATTTCTTAGCCAAAGTACTTATGAAAAGCTCATAATTAATTTGGGAATGATAAACAATGGTTCTATACCATCACAATGATCTTTCTTAGAAACGGACCCTGTTCTATTTATAATAAAACGCGCTTATGCAATACTATTCAAATCTGTCTGGTAAATAGCTTGAAATACCTATCACTAGTTGTATCAAATAGTAAATATTAAACTTGTTAAATTGTTGTATGCTTATGGAAAAAAAATAAAAAACCATAAAAAATGAAAACATGAAGATAAAAAATTGATTGATGTCAAAAAATCTATAGACAATACAATTCTGTGAAGAGGGCAAAAACACGGACCCCTGAAAATTCTAGAGGTGGCTTAGGTGCCTCAAACAGTAGGCATTCCCTCTTAACCGGAAACACTCGCGGTGAGTCATGTTTTGATTAGGTAGAACTTTCCGTAGTTAAATTCATTATAAAATCCAAGGTTTAACAATTGGCATGAAACACGTCAGTCACAATATGACCTAATGATGATTTAAATTGTATACATTTGAAAGAAATTGTGTATGTATGGGGCGTCTTAAGCTCAGCACATAGAAAATTTATTTTAAATGAAATATGGAGATAACAAACAGTATTCAAGCTCACTTGTCCATTCAAACAAAACAAATGCGGAGCAGAGCAAACATGGACCTCTAAAGCATCAGAGGTGGAATTAGGTGCTATGGACGAGTGAGCATCCCCTGCCGACCGGTCATGATCGGGAAAAAACGGAAATTAAAAATCTGTAGATAATTCAATGTGTAAATAATGGCCGAACAATAAGTATGACAAACATCAATCAGCATTTGACTTAATGATAGATTGAATTTGCTGGCAATGTCATTGTATCGGCCATAGAAATTGCAAAATGATGACTTTAAACGAGACTGTTGTTATTCTTGTTTCATCAACTTGTTTGTCAATAGCTTGCCTCGTTTTATTAATAGTTAGTACGTAGAGCATGCTCTTGCGTATCGAATCAACTGAGAGACATAAACCCCACATGCAAGTGATAAGAGTATATTGCCACATAAGTAAGGGGAGTTGACGATTGAAAAGTCATCACGTTAACCGTGAAGCTTTGTTGTTTGGTTAACATTAACGTCTTTTTCTAGTAAAATACTCAAAGATAGAAACAGAAATGTCAGACTCTGTGGTATCTTTTATTTCAAGCTCATTGGGATATATCGCGTCGACATATGAATTGAAGTAACTATTGTTAATTGATGATACGCCATCGATATATCTAAATGTCGAGTTGAAAGCCACGGCAAGTGTCTTCTTCTCATTTCAAGATTTAAAAAAATCTTCTTTATTTGAATACAAAAACAGGTCTGGTAATAACGGGGCGCAATAGCTACCCATGGATATTCCGACATATTGTAACTACACAGATGTTGTCAATCAGAAACTCAAGGATCTTTTTAATGGGATTTCCAGGGGTCCGTGTTTATGCCCTGTTCTCATATTTGTATTGTTTGTAGTTTTGTAGTTTTTATATTCACCTTTTTTCATGAATGGAAATGAATATTGGTTAATGACACACCATCGTTTATATATCTTAATTTTGAACACCACAATAATCAAGAAACTTCTTTTATCTTGTACAAGTTTTATAAAGATGAATTCGTCATCGGAAGAATATAAGAAGTATGTCTGCAAGATGTATTTTTAAAATTTTATCGGTAATTTTGTTTGTATTTTTCTTTGAGATTTGATTATACATGTTTTCCAGCCCAACTCACCACCATCCAGGAAGTAAAACTGGATGTGAATGTGTCAAATGAAATAGATATTTATGAAAAATATAAGCAAAGGAAAATAGAAATAAATGTTTTGTATCATGGTTATGTTTAGATTCATCGGATTGACTATTCAAAGGTCTCCATTACTAAAATTTAGTAAGATAAACTATGGGTAATAATAGGATTTTTACTTGGAAAGTTATCTCTCCTTTCAGAGAGTCGGTCGCCCTTACTTTATAAATTGGGCTGTCTGTATAATTTCATTTGCAGTATCTGGTCTGATGATTAAATTCTATAAAACGTATTTCAATTTTTATTTTATGTTGTATAATAATATAATATCATTGTGAATATGATATAAAGATTTAATAGTGAGATAAAAAATATAATGGATAGAAAGAATCATCATACTAAAAGCGTTAAATGGACAATTAATCTTTGGTTGATACATGTTTTAGCCTAAATGAAAGTTTTAATACCGATTGTATATCGCGAATTGTTTGGTATGTTACCCTTTCCCTTTAAAGCAAATTATTTATACCTGCTATTCTATTGAGGGTACAACATTTTGAAATGTAAAAGGTGAAGATAACAAACAGTGATCGTTCTGAAAAAATCCATAAACAATACAAATATGTGAAAAGGGCATAAAACACGGACCCCTGGGAATTCTAGAAGTGGCAGTAGGTGCTTATCCTGATACTTTAAGCAATGTGAAGATAACCAACATCTATAAAGTTCAAAAATCCAAACAAACTTGACAGGAGAACAGAGCAAATAAGAACCTCTGGAAACATCTGAGGTGGAAACGGGTGCCACAGTTCTACCTTTCGGGTAGTAAAGCCTGAATAGACACTAATGTTAATTCCAATATCCAAAGTGATTCAATAGCTAGAGTAGCAATGGTTTATACAGAAGAAAATAAAAAAAAATCCAAAACTAATAATTTAAGTTATGGTTAATTAAGAAATGAATTTAATTTTTGAAGATTCATGAGGACATGAACTACGACGCTTCACGACGGCATATTTCATGAAGCGCGGTAGCGCTGACGTCAAGTGAGGTATTATGACGTAACAATGGAGATATTCATGCCCATTCATAGGTAGTTCATGAGAAAATGAACTGTATTCTATATTGTAAAGAATCATAGGGGAAATTTATTGGAAATGTGAATATTTTTCAATTAAACCACCATCAGATCCATGTGCAAGATGAACTCATGAATAATCTTAAGAAAACTTCTATTGAATTTCACTGTAGTCTTTAATCAATTAATGTGTATTACCTTCAACAACATCCTATTCAAATTTACAATGCTGTCTTCATTTATGACTTGCTGTTAAACCTAACACAAAGAAAAAAAAAACAGGAAAACAACAATAATTTCAAAACATTGCAGGTTTGATAGAAAGTAAATATTTGATTCGCTATTTTAAATCCATTACGAAACATAAATCTACTTGTATATGTAAATACATTTACTAAAAATCTTAAAGCTTACCTTCCATTGATAAATCAAATGGTTTTACAATCCATAAAGAAAACAGCAAGGAATACAATTATTCTGTAGATAACGATAACAAATAGTAATACTTGTTAGCAAGTAACTTTACCTTCAATTTCTCACAGAGATAAAGGATAAAGATATCTTATGTAAATAGTTGTAAATCAAAACATAATAACTCATGTTTCGGTTCCACTTTTTCATGTTCATATAGCAACGAATTGTTTTACAACGTGCTTCAACGGGTACATTTTAGCTCAGAAAGCAAGAGGTCCGTGGGAAGCAATTGCAGTTGGGGGCAGCCAAACATTATCACATGGGGGGGGGGGCTACTATGCAAAATGCCCTTGACAAGCCAAAAGAGGTCATTTGACATTAATATAGAAAGGGGTCATGCATAAGAAAGTATTGTTTTTTTCTTTTATAGTTCACCATATATTGGCAGTGCTGCATAATACTTTCCATTATCTGTTTAATCATAAGCAGATAATTTTCTTAATTTCATTGTATTTTCTATTAAACGTTGCATATTTTGTATTATTTGTTGCATATTTTCTATATCTTAGAATGAGCCGCACTTTTGCACAGAGTGAAATTCATCTACAAATAAGTACAAGTTCAATACAAAATAGGAGCAGCGCAAACACGGATCTCTAAACATCAGAGATATGGGATCAGGTGCCATGGAGGAGTGAGCATCCCCTGGCGACCGGTCACACCCGCCGTGTGCTCCTTGTCATGATCGGGAAATAACGGAAAAAACCGTCGACAATTCAGTGTGTAAATAATGGCCTAACAATCAATATGAAAAACGTCAGTCAGCATTTGACTCAATGATCAATTGTATTTGCTGACAAGGTCATTGTATCGACCATAGAACTTACGAAATGATGACTTTAAACGAGACTGTTGATATTCTTGTTTCATCAACTTATTTGTCAATAATTTACCTCGTTTTAGAAATTGTACATACGTAGAGCATATTCTTGCGTATCGAATCAACTGAGAGATATATACCCCGTATGCAGGTGATGAAGGTATATTGCCACATAAGTAAGGGAAGTTGACGATTGAAAAGTTAAAGTCATCACGTTTATCATAAAGCTTGGTTGTTAGATTACCATTAACGTCTTTTTCAAGTAAAATATCCAAATATGAAACAGATGTGTCAGACTCTGTGGTATCTTTTATCTCAAGCTCACCAGGATATATCGTATCGACATAAGAATGGAAATAGCCATTGTTAATTGACAATACATCGTCGATATATCTAAATGTCGAGTTGAAGGCCACAGCAAGTGTTTTCTTCTTTTCACGTACAAGATTTTGGACAAATTCTGCTTCATATGCATACAAAAAATGTCTACTAATAACGGGGCGCAATTGGTACCCATGGGAATTCCAATAGATTGTTGGAAGACCTGGTCTCCAAAAACCACATAGATATTGTCAATCAGAAACTCAAGCATCTTTTTAATGTCAACTTCAAAGTACTTGTGTGTACAATCAAAATGTTTTTTAACAAAATAAGTTTGCAAATGACCAATGACAAGGTAAGTATATTTACGAGTTCCATTTTTATTGAAAAAGCAGCTGTCAATAATATAAAAAAAAGCCTGGACTTTTATTTATCGTGGGGAATAGGTGTGTATAAAGTAGAAAAGTCGTAAGTTTTCAAGCTGTTGATTTTGGTAAAATCTTGTGATTTCAAATTTTCCAAAAGTTCCTTGGAATTTTTAAGTATCCACATCTGATTTACACCACTTCTCGAATATATTGTTGCACAGTACTCTTGAAGTTTCTCCTTCACCACTGTTAATATCTTAGTGAGGAGTAAAGAAAGAGGCTTGGTTGAACATTTACTGGAACCCGCTATGTATCTTTGTTTGTAAGGATTTTTATGAATTTTCGGAATCCAATATAAATATGGTAATTCAAATTCATTTGGGTTGTTTGGAATATTAAAAATATTCAAAACTGACATATGATTTTGAAGAATTTCTTCCTTAGAAAGGGAAGCAATCTGTCCTTCTGTGTTCAGTAATTCAGAAGTGAAAAAAAATTGATCACTATGTACTTGTCCCAGCTGGCAAAGCAGGTAACAAGTTTGCCTTTGTTTGTAAGGCTCATTATTTGAATGGTATTTTAGAGGAACTGGGATTTAATTCTACAAGTAGTAATTCATCCTATACCCATAGCCCTCTTTCCAAGGAAGAAATTCTTCAAGATTATATGTCAGTTTTAATATTCCCGGCAACCAAAAAGAATTCGAATTACTATATCTATATTGGATTCCGAAACTTCATAAACATGCTTACAAACACAGATACATAGCGGGTTCAAGTAAATGTTCTACCAAGCCTATCTTTATTCCTCACTAAAATATTAGACAGCAGAGAAGAAGAATCTATAGAAGTACTGTGCAACAATGTATTTGATATCATTATTATTAACTATATTAATATTCGATATTATTATTGAATAGAAATGGAACTCGTAAATTTACTTACCTTGTCATTTGCAAAATTATTGTGTTAAAAAACATTCTGACTGTATACTCAAGTACTCTGAGGTTGACATTAAAATTAAAAGGATGCTTGAGTTTCTGATTGACAATATGTATATGGTTTCTGGAGATAAGATTTTCCAACAATCTGTTGGAATTCCCATGGGTACCAATTGCGCTCCGTTATTAGCAGGCCTATTTTTGTATTCATTTGAAGCAGAATTTGTTCAAAATCTTACACATGAGAAGAGGAAAACACTTGCTGTGTCCTTCAACCCGACATTTAGATATATCGACGACGTATTATCCCTAACAAAAAAAAAACTATAGTTAACTATAATTTACTATAGTTAACTATAGTTAACTATAGTGATAACTTTGACACTATGAAAACTTTGATTAATATAGTGATAACTTTGACACTTTGATTAACTATAGTGATAACTTTGACACTTTGATTAACTATAGTGATAACTAAGAAAACTTTGATTTACTATAGTGACTACTATTAAAACTTTGATTTACTATGGTGAAAACTTTGATTTGCTATAGTAATAACTTTGACACTTTGATTTACTATAGTGATCACTATGACACTATAGTGATCACTTTGAAAACTTTGATTTACTATAGTGATCACTATGACACTATAGTGATCACTTTGAAAACTTTGATTTACTATAGTGATAACTTTGACACTTTGATTTACTATTGTCAACTATAGTTAACTATAGTTAACTATAATATTTTTTTGTTAGGGATCAATTAACAATAGTTATTTCCATTCATATATCGACATGATGTATGCCAGTGAGCTTGAAATTAAAGATATCACAGGGCCAGACACATCGGCTTTTGAATATTTTACTAGAAAAAGACGTTAATGGTAAACTGAAAACCAAGCTTTATGGTAAATGTGATGATTAACTTTTCAATCGTCAACTTCCCTTTGCCGTCACGGTAGGTCAGTCGATAGAGCACTCGCTCCGTGATCGGAATGTCGTGTGTTCTAATTATGGCCGCGACTGACTTAAGTCGATAAATAATAGGTAGCAACTGGTCGTCCGACAAGCGCTCGGCACTTTGAAATGAAAGACGGAGGTCCTTCGGATGAGACCATAAAATCGAGGCCCCATGTCACGGCAGGCATTGGCACGATAAATAACCCTCACTGCACAATGGCCCTGAGTGCCGATTAAAGGTATAAATTTGAAGCACTTGACCGGTATATGGTGACGTCTCTATATGAGTGAAAAGTTCTCGAATGGGACGTAAACTTACAATCAATAAATCAATCAACTTTCATTACCTATGCAGCAACATGCACTTGTCATCTGTATTTAGAGTCTATATCTCTCAGTTGATCTGATACGCAAGAGCATGCTCTGCGTATGTACAATTTATAAAACGAAATATTTATTGAAAAACAAGTTGATGAAATAAGAATATCAACAGTCTCGTTTAAAGTCATCATTTTGTAAGCTTTATGGTCGATGCATTGACCTTGTCAGCAAATACAATCTATCATTTAGTCAAATGCTGACTGACGTTTTTCATACTAATTGTTAGACTATTATTATACACTGAATTGTCAACAGATTTCCCCTTACTTTATAACAAGGAGCACACGGCGGGTGTGACCGGTCGGCAGGGGATGCTCACTCCTCCATGGCACGTGATTTCCCCTCTCATGTTCTAGAGGTCCGTGTTTCTTATTTGTATTCTTTGAGTGAACTTTTGAGCTTGAATACTGTTCGTTATCTCCATATATTTCAGGCATAGTTTTTGAATCTTCCCCAAAGAAAATCATATAATTTGAGCTTTGAATGGTTTTGAAGTTTCTTTAAGAACTCGATATTGTTATCAACTCAAGTCCTGGAGAGGTTGTTTCTTTAATTTGTAGGCTGATAAAACAAGTTATCTAGATCTTCAAGAAGTTTGAGTTTCGACTAATTGAATCGGTTGATGACGTACAGGACAATGCAGTGAAGAACACTTTTACTTATTTGGATTGAAGCAAATTGGTGAATAGGTAGTTGTTTTTCAGGCAGCTTTCTCTGTTCTACTAGCATTTATTTTATGATCAGATCACTTTACTGACATAATAAAAGATCATAAACCCGTCTTCATAAACTTGAAGCGCCGAAATACGTCTGATATACTGCGGAATCGGGGTTTAACAATATACACTACATAAACGTGATTAAAAAAAAAGATCCATTAAAGTCGGGTCCTTGAGCGCCAACAGCATTAAGTACCGCTTTAAGGTAACTAAGGGGTGGGTTTTTCGTTGTTTTGGTTTGTTTACGTGGAATTTTACTCTAAATTTTACTAAATTCTTGTTTGTCAAATCATATAAGAATTTGAGAATTTTTTAGCTGCGATCTGACGAAGAAACGAATTAACATTTGTTGAAGATCAGCTGTGATCGCTATTGATTTTTTTTATAAAAATTTAAAAAGATAAGGAGGTTGTAATCTAGGTTAAATTTAACACTATTTTGTTTTAAAATCGCCGAAGAAAACTAAAGTAAAAGTGTTGACTTG